TTAGACTAATTAAGTGTCAAGTTGAAGATCGATATTGTGAAGATGTGTCACTAATTGTTAGAGGAGGATCTTTATCCAAGTGATTCAGCAGTCGCGTTCTGATGTTGTAGAATTTCGGAGATAGCAAACTGCATATCAGTATGGGGATTCTGAGTGATTTTCTATTAAGAATTCCAGCTTAAGTAGTTCACAACTGTGATCGATAATGTTAGCATGCATGAGGAAGGAGTTGTTTTCGTTAATTATTATTTTCGAAAGACAATATCTTGTGTTAGAATGAGAAGGCTGACCTTCGAAGTATTGTCTTTGAGTCTGTGAACCATGGAGTTGAGCCTTTGTTCATGCGGGTTTTTGACAAAGCCATATTACAGCGTTGGTCTAACTGAGCCGGACCCAGTTTCGTGAGTAACAGTTGTGGCCTCCAAGCACAATTTTGACCAGCGTAATATCACTCGAAATGAGCTTATACCGTATGAATGAGGTATCGAAAGTAATGTTGGCATCCATGTTATGGTGCAATTCCGTGTTGTTGTTGGTAATAGGATCAGCAGAAGGAGCTGTTATGGCGGAAATTGTGTCTGATAGCTTAGTATTGGTATTTCTTGTGTTTCTCTGAACCTTTGTGAGATTCGAGCCCATGTCATCCAGTGTCGTAGTCATGAACGTTAACCGCTGAGATATTATGGTTGCGATTCAACTCCTGTAAGATTGGATTAAATACAATGATAGGTCACTGAACATAAACTAATTACATGTTGTCTAATCTTGTCTGCAGTCAACTAACATCCATTCAAATGCACCGTGCTAGTGAGCTTCCTAGGTAGGTGGCCATATTGCACAATGATCAATAATATTTGGACTAGAAAACTTGAAATTGGTTGCTCTCCAGTGACCAATCACTATACAGTGATTATATGTCGAGATAGTAGAAAATGTGTGTGCAGTCCAAACTTCTAAGTTGCGTGATTTGAAGTTAATTTGAGTAACTCCAGTTATAAAAACTGAACAGTGAACGAAGATAAATTATGAAATCACCATTTATGATACAATTACTTATTTTCGGAAACATTAATTGTCTTAAAGTTTTGAATTCGGACTGAACAGTGCCAGATATGTAAGATCTATTATTTTTCTGTATTTCTGCAGAATATTCCTGTGCATGTGGAGATATTAGGTTTATTTCTGTGTCATTATTAGAAGGGTAACTTTTCCTACAATGATGCCCTGACTTGCAAACTCAAATAAAAACAATCGCGAAGCACTGAAAATACGAACGTGGTAGTCTTTTGAAACGTTGACAATGTAGTAACAAAAACTGCTCACTGATCTGGCATTTGGTTGTTTTCTCATTACGCTATTACACTGGAAAAACAGACAAGATGCTCCGAACAAATGCTGATTTTCCTATGTAAAGTAAATCCGTCCAGCTGCATCAGTTTTCGAAAAAACTCCACATTACTGGAATATTTTCCGAAGTACTTTCAATCGTTAAGATTTGTAGAAGACATGCAGAAACCATCAATTTTTCGTAGCAGAATCGTCTCCTTCTCTTAAGATAGAAAAACAGGCTTGATGGTTTGCGGCTTAGAGCAGAAGAGCATTGGCCCTTTTCCTACATTCACAAAACAGTCTGATACTAATATAAAAGACATTCTTTAGACAGTAGCAAATACAAAAATAAGATATCCAGGCTTCAGAAGAAAACAATAAGTAGTGTGTCCGGATCTATATGGTTGACGATCCTTGACTACTGTTTATTCTAAATTGTACAAATTCTTCAGCTGAACTACACTGTCGTGCACGGATCAGTGCAACCTTGGTGGACAGACAGCTATTAGTGCACGTGGCAGTATTCTGCAACTGATGACAGCTCCAATACTGTCTCTTTTCGGGTCAGAAATATTGACGGTGTATATATTACCTAACTGATGTTGACCGTGGTCTCTTCATTCCTGACCGGTTTAAAAGACTCGACTTAGCAGATATACCAACAAATACCATATATAATCAAGAACAGATATTTTCAACATCTGGCATAGTTTAGTAGTTTCTGAATGTTTCCCGATTCGATTTTGGATGTTGTCCAGAAATGTGAGATATCCTGTAAATACGGCATAATGTCAAACAAATACCTCACCCTGAAGGCCGCGTCTATATACCTCCCTACCAGTAGTGAAAGTTGGTGCTTTGCTAACACCAACGTTTAATTCCCCATGCGCAGCCCATGTGGTGGTCATGAGTAAGCTCAATGATTTGGTTTGAAGTTTGCACTGATCTTTCCTGTAAACCTAATGCAAATCTAGAACCACAAGGACTGAATGAACCACACCACTATCTACTGCTTTGGTCTACTGATGTTTCCACTATTTTGGGAGATAAAACTTAGATTGAAAAAGTTAATTTATATTATTACCAGATTACCATTTGGCATTCAGACTGCACCTGCGGATTTACAGTGAATTATCGATACGATAGATTCTGGAATATGACAGAGTATTAATTATTCGAGCCTCGTCACCTGAACTACATAGTCGCATCTATCAGGTATCACAACTGAATGAAAGTTATGGATTCCTGTCACTCGCTGAAAACGCCATTTCTTTCTTCATCATGTAAAGTGCCTTGGATTTGTCGTCCATAGCTTTGATTGTCGTCCAGACCCTGAAAATGTCTATGTCCTACAACAGATGACTGAAACATAGAGCGTATAAAACAAGTTCAAAGCTGATTTACTCAGATTTAACTAGACAGAAGTACCCGGTTACGATATGCGCGCGATCCAAATTGTGAGGCATACTGAGACAATAACATATGAGTCATACGTTGACTAAGAGAATCTGAAATTATTGAGAAGCATATTTGTTCTGCAGATACGATCACAGACTGTTCATTGAGACAAAACAGCTGTAGTGTTTTCCTGAGTTAGTTTTGGTAACTACTGATATTGACTTTCACAGGAGAAGTAAGCGAAGTCTATTACATTGTTGCTGCTGACCAATTTGAAAGATCCAAGTTGTTCCTAAAACACAGAAAACAGAGGTTATCAAATTACAGTTTTATTCTTTGATTGTTCGTTCGTACCTCTTATTCGAAGTTATTCATTTGATTCAGGGTTAAAACACGCGAAAAGGAGTTGGCGGAAATCACACATGCAGTTGTCGACATTTCATAAACAAAACATTATCATGGATCATGTGGTTATGAGGATGCTTACTGATTTCGTAAGTCGTCGAATTAAGTACATAAATTTTATTCACTTCTGACACCTAATAAATGCAACTATGTAGTTCCGATGACGAATCTCGAATAATTAATACTCTATCACATTCCAGAATCTACGGTATCGCAAATTCACAACAAAGTAGTTGGTATAAACGCTTTTAACACGAATTTTGACCAGTCCTGTGTAGCTAAGAATGCTGAATTTTTCATGATTTGTACGTGCCTGGAAGACGGAAAATAGTGGGTGTTTGAGTCAACACTGTATGGTAATTCGTCCTGAATAAGTGTATTAAAAATCGCGTCTGTTGATATGCTGTATTCAGAACATGAAAACAAAGTTTAGCTGCACATTTTAACATTGCTATATTTCTTGGCCTGAACGCGGCATTTGATTCTGTCGACCATGAGGTGTTGCGGTAGTGTCTAACTCTGAATGGAGTAACGAGCAAGTATATAACGCTAAAAAAAGCTGTCTACACGAACCCAAGCAGCCGTGTAGGGTGTTATGGAGAGTTTTTCTCTGAAGTGACGAGACGTAGTGGTGCCCGTCAGGGATGTCCACGGTCACCGTTCCTATTCACCGTCGTCATTGACGTGTTAGTGGACATAACCTTAGCTACACATAACTTCACTCTGCGAACATCATCTGGTTGACTTGGAATATGCAGATGACATTGTCATACTAGGTGAAGCTGTTGACAAAATGCAGAGTCTTGAGACGCGTTAACCAGAAGTCTGAGTATAGTTGGTATGCGACTCGTACCTGCCAGACATCAGATGATGCTGCATGACTGGTTTGCCGCAAGCACTCCAAGTTTAATGATAGAGAGTCAAGTGGTGGAATGCGTCAACCACTTCACCGACTTGTGGAGTTGGATCAACTCGAACGGCTGGTTGCTGACGAAATCACAGGTTGGATACAGGAGATATGATTAGCACTTGCCAACTCGAATCATCTCTGACGTTCAATGGCAAAATGTTGCGGTCAAGCGAGGTGTACTAGGCAAGACAAGCAGGTCGATTGACTAAGCTGTAAACCTCGGTCAACTGAGATGGCTGGGACATGTACCGCACATGCCGAGCCATTACCTACCTCCACGTGCCATACTATGCGAAGTTGGATTAGGTTGAGAGAGGGTTCAGAGTGATCGGACTAAGACGTGGCACTAGTCGATGTAGTCTTCCACTGTTGGTCTGAGAAGAATGGGGAGATGAAGGCTATCTGGCTGGGGTCCCCAAGACGAAAGGAATCAGTCGGTGAGGACTGTTAGTGACATGGATGAAATCCGGTCAGTGTGGTGCAGACGCATTCACTCCTTGACATCTTCTAAAGCCTGAATATTTGCACTAACTGCTGTCTCCGTGTAGTTTATTCTTGCACACAACTCTGTCTACCTTGATATCTCTCTTCTCCTATCCACCGATTATTTGTATACTACTGAGAAATGTGACAACTTGAACCGATGCACTTGTGTGAGAGGTTCTACGTTGATTTTATCTGTGTATCGGTCTGTGTAGGCTAAGTTAGATGATCTCATGAAAAGCAACACATCGCGCTTAATCAAATTTCATAATTTTCCACGTTGACGTGCATTTTCTAAGCAACGTACCAAAATACCATCGGTGGTATTTTAAAAGGGATCTTCTATGGTCATTAATAAATCATTGAAATCCGTTTTACTGTTGGACACAAACTCCATAAATCTGGTTAATTTGCCCACATAATCTAAATCAGTAGTCGACTGAAGGCTTTTTCTCAGCAGAACAATTAAAACCACTTATTCGAAAAATTGTTTATTATATAATCAGGCAACTTACTATACTTGGGAAGTGAACATTTTAAAAGGAATAAAGCATGGTTAAAAAGTTACTAAATGTCAGGGCTCTTCCAACTCTCCTTCAAAATCCCCTTCTTCATCAGCAATAGCATCCTGATATTGCTGATACTCACTGACTAAATCATTCATATTGGATTCAGCTTCAGTGAACTCCATCTCATCCATTCCTTCGCCTGTATACCAATGCAAAAATGCCTTTCGACGAAACATGGCAGTAAACTGTTCCGAAATACGCTTAAACAATTCCTGAATAGCAGTGCTATTTCCAATAAATGTGACCGACATTTTAAGACCACGTGGTGGGATGTCACAGACTGCTGTCTTTACATTATTCGGGATCCACTCAACAAAATAACTTGAATTCTTGTTTTGAACATTGAGCATTTGTTCGTCAACCTCCTTCATGGACATACGTCCACGAAACATAGCAGCAACTGTCAGGTAGCGTCCATGTCGAGGATCACAAGCAGCCATCATATTCTTTGCATCAAACATCTGTTGGGTTAATTCTGGAACTGTGAGAGATCGGTACTGCTGGCTCCCACGACTTGTAAGTGGTGCAAATCCAGGCATGAAGAAGTGAAGTCGAGGAAACGGAACCATATTAACAGCTAATTTGCGTAAGTCGGCATTCAGTTGTCCAGGGAATCGTAAACAAGTTGTTACACCAGACATTGTTGCACTGACCAAGTGATTCAGGTCCCCATATGTCGGATTTGTTAGTTTTAGTGTTCGGAAACAAATGTCATAAAGGGCCTCATTATCAATACAGAATGTTTCATCAGTGTTTTCAACCAGTTGATGGACGGAAAGCGTTGCGTTGTACGGTTCTACAACAGTATCGGAGACCTGAAATTCAAAAGATGGTTGCATAAGAGGAACATTTATTGACTAGCTGAGCTTAAGTAGAAATGTGTTAAGCAAGAGCTTTTCTCTGAGCTGAAGCTTCAGTTAGCAAACGTTGCAATTTCATGACATTTAAATGTTAGCCAACAAACCTCCAGCTTGGAAAAAATTAGTCTGATCATCCACATATTGGGCTACCTATATCCGCCACAAGGGGAATTATATATAGGTTATCAGTGATTTGTTGACATTATTTTGTCACAGGAAGGAGTGCTTACCGAAGAGCATGTTTCCACATGTAACTTCAGCAAAATAAATGCGATCTCTGCATAGTAGGCAAAACATGTTAATAAATGGTTTACTCTGACTTCCTCCTCATGATATACTTACTATAATACCATGCCGATTATTCAACATAGGCTACTGAAGCAACCATGGTGATTATTAAAGAAGGAATTTGTTTAAAATCGGCGGTAAATACTTTGTTACTTTAGTGATCGGAAAATCTATGACTAAACAAAATGTTATGTGAACTAGGAATTGTACGCAAACCGGTTATTTGGAAATTTGTGAATGTTGAGGCGACTGGCATTCTCAGGAAGGATGAGATGATGAAAGAGAAAAAAGAAGACAACAGCCAAGGATGAGGAGAATAGTCACTAGTTTATGAGTGGCCAATGGAAGATTCAAACCTGAATGTGTTCCTTCTGAATGGATAGTTCAAACTCGGTCAATCTTATTTTTACAGCTTCAACAGTGTGAAAATGGTGCTGGCAAGCAGCACTTGATGATGTTTTCGGGATACGGTGTATGGCAGCAAAAGCTGTATTAGTACCTATGGCTGCCCTGTGTCTACTAGATATGTCAGGATAGGAGATTTATCGCTTTGACTTCACCTTTTCCGAAAATGACGGTAAGTGTTTGAGTATTAGGAGATGCACTTGACTAATCGTATACCCTATACTGGATAGTTCCACCTCCTAACTATGGGACTTGATAAAAATGTACTGAAAAGAATAGTTTCTGATCATGTTACCTTACAGTTAATGAAATGAGAATCTGTAACCCTTTCAAATTTATGCTACTAATGAAAGTGACTTTGCTTTCTATCCTCAACTAAATTCACTAACCGCTTCCCCTCACAAACTAGAATTTCATCATAAACTTCAACAGGCGACTGTTAAGTGATCCATGCAGCTTATATGCAACGTTAACGAACGCAATAATTTGAGTAAGAAGTGGGCTGAAATAAAGCAGATAGTAGTCAGGATGTGTTCAGAGGTAAAGGGGTTCAGACGAGGAATATTACGAGCAAATATTACCTCTTCGAATGATGACTGCTTTCGATGGAAACCATGGTCAAGTATAGCATTCGATAAGTTGAATATGACCATACGCACTCTGTCCTTTCCTCTCTTCCTCGGCTATTATCTTGGCTTCAAAAACTATCACCTTGTAACATGAATGCAAATCGACCAAACAGTGGAATTTAATAACTCTATGGATTTCGTGTTATTCTATCCATTCAACTCACAAGCTTTCACTGTCCTCAATACCAACCACAGTTATCTGAGAACTGTTTAACCCGCGTTTACATTCCTCATAAATGTGAGGTTAACGATATTTCGGGTGGAAATTACGAGATTTAACTTCTCCCACACCGACCTATATGTACTTGTAAAGCACTGCTAGAAGATTGAAGAATACGAACGCCACTCATACTTATTTGGAGGACTGACCTGGTAATCAGAAGGATTCGCTCAGGAGCTGAGATATTCGATCGATAATCAATAATAAGTTCTCTGGGCTGAGAACAAGCCGAGGTATACCCGATTTTCGCATCACTAGTAGAATTTGTTGGTCCATGTTCAAATATTTTTACTGCTCAATAACATGCTTATGTGATACTAAGTATGGTTGTTTAACTACATTCTGACTGGTTTCCAACGAATAATGTAGGGTCATAGAATCTAGACTGCTGGCATCAACAAAGGTGATACACATTATTTCCTAAACGTTTCGTCTTAAAAATGTATCAGAAGTCCTGCACAAGACTATAAAATTTGACAAATTAATGAAATATCAGATAGTATATACTATATAAAATTTGAATAAATTTTCGAGAAATCGACAATCTGTTCAGTGATTTATCATACCTTAGGCGACGGAACGACAGAGAAAGTGTTCATAATTCTATCAGGATACTCTTCACGAATCTTAGAAATCAACAAAGTTCCCATACCAGAACCTGTCCCACCTCCTAGAGAATGTGTCAGTTGAAAGCCTTGCAAGCAATCACAGGACTCAACCTCCTTGCGTACAACATCCAGAACAGAATCCACCAATTCAGCACCTTCTGTGTAATGACCTTTCGCCCAGTTGTTCCCAGCTCCTCTCTGACCGAATACAAAATTATCTGGACGGAATATTTGGCCAAATGGCCCAGCTCTCACACTGTCCATAGTTCCAGGCTCCAAATCAACCAGTATTGCACGTGGAACATATTTCCCTCCAGAGGCTTCATTAAAGTAGACATTTATTCTTTCCAGTTGCAAATCTGAATCACCATGGTACGCCCCGGTTGGATCAATCCCATGTTCATCAGATATTACTTCCCAGAACTGAAAGAGAGTTATATGAAACACATTGTTAGCTATGCTGAACAATTAGGGTAAATATCTACAGTGACTATGCAGAAAGTGACCTAATACGGCTGGAATTCAGGAGATACTTACACTAATTAACTTGTGGTAATCGCACCTGTGGCATTTCATGGGGACATGTATGACTGTAACAAAATCTACAGTAATTATCTTTTGTCCACTGTGCTTACTAGACTAGGATGTGTTGTTTTCTATGTCCAACATATATGAATAAACTCCGACTGGGAAAAATACCTCTAACCCGATTGTTGATTTATTTTCAATGCGTGACAGGATACAAATAGGTACGGCGTTAACAGTGAAAATCCTGCCCACTGACTGACTGACTGATATTTGCAAACTGAGCGAGTCAATTATTCATATGCTCTAGATATTCTGGTATATTTGTAGAGTAGATGAAGTGTTAAATAAACACAACCAGAATGGATTATTCATAGTGAGATAACAGCTTCCAAAATTCATCACAACTTGGAAATGAGGAATGAGATTTCACAGTAAGATCTATTATGCTGTGGTTAACACTGCCAATTTTCCGTAGTGCACATATTGATGTTCATCACGATACCGAGGTATTTGGCCATAAACCTGATGAATTTTAGAATTCCCATGTTTCACTGTCTGTTATTGTTATGCTTCAAGATAACCGACCTCGGTAGACCAAACCAATTGGCACATACACATACGACTTGCACAGCCACTGACTTCAAGCACCAGTCACGTAAGTCGCATTCAATGATCTGCCCATTTTCAAGCTACATAGCACTAAAGTGTTTCACACTGATCATTCGTCAATAGATGTCAGATAATGAGAAATGATTTAACGCAGAACAATTTCCTAGGAATCTGACCCACCAACTGATTCTCCAACTTTTTCTCAGCGTTCCTTCTTTCAATATCTGTTGATGAAGACTGGAGTCTATGAAAGTAAATTATTTGAACAAGTGAAAATCGCAAGTGAAAAATTTAGAAAACTCATTTAACTCTTCCCTCTGTCTCAGGCAATAACTAGGTTAGTCAGTAAGGCGTTTAACATAGGTTACGGAAGAGTTTAACGGATTAACATACCATATGATCTATGTGACAATTTTACACAAAAGATTTATGAACTCATTGATTAGCTAACAATTCGATCGACAAAATTTGATAGGGAATGAAGAGTGTAATCTTTATTACATAGGGAAGTTTTAATATGAACTCAACGTGTTTAGGAAATCAAAACAAGATTTTTGTCAGTGTTTCGCTGTGTGTGCGACAGCTTCGTCATCAGAATATTTGGATAATTATTCAACATCAGAATATATACTGTCAAACGGTTCATGTAGAAATTTCTGTCCTTACACCATTGGTTAGCTGACGTGTTCAGACTGATTATTTGTAGGCCGTGTAGCAAACACCCATGAAAGAAACGAAGTGGAACTGAAAAGTTTGGGAAAGAGATCAACACTAGCAATGCATCCCAGTGAAAGTGGGCACAATATTGATTTTGACAATGTTGACCTATTAGGGAAGGGTTATCATTCACATTAGGAAAGATTGATCTCACAAACCCTGCATATTTTAACGTCAACAAATTCTTTAATTAGAAAGGAAGGAATAGATTTGTCACCTATCTGGCAGACTGAAATTCGGCAAAAGCAATGAAAAAGATCAGCATCTCAAACTGGACTTATAAAATATGAGCAAACAATATCGATCAAGTATTGTTCATGAGTGAGTATGTTTTTCAATTTTTTCATACAATAAACATCGAATGACGTATATTTTCCATAACGTTATATATACAGACACTTTGATTATTGAATTGTTCTCGACGACAAATGATAAGGACTTCATGACGTTACGATGACTAGTTGGAAATAATCAGTCTGAAGAAGAAATCAGCCAACCAATGACGTAAAGACAGAAATTTCTACATGTACCGTTTGGCAGTATATATTGATATTGATATTGAATAGTTATCCAAATATTCTGCTGAAGAAGCTGTCGCATACACAGCGAAACGTTCACAGAAATCTTGATTTTGACTTTCAAAACATACTGAGACTATATTACAACTCACCTATGTAATGAGTGGACCTGACTCGGTGTTCAACTTCTTTCAGGACATTGGTACGAACCATGGTCTGAATGTTTACAAGGAAACGTGTAGCTGAACGCCCATCGATTGGACCCAATTGCACAATGAAATACTCAGTGAAAATGTCAGTTACATGGACCAGATTTAGTTGTTCGTAGGTCTTTTCTGTCGACTGCAGTTTTGCGTATATTGTCAGATGATGTGAATGACTAAGTTTGTAAGGTGTCTGAAACTACACTCAAGAACGCAGTGGCTACGGACCTACCTAACCTCAGACCCGTTGAAGCAATATCAGCATAACACAACTAGTTTATTTCCTAAGTTTGACCCACGTTGGTTGTTTAGATATCTGCAGCAACATAGTGTGCTCATTGTTCTTGTTATCACCAGGATAAATGTTAAAAGTAATATCACTGTGATCTGAATAAACGCTATTTGCATACTCCACTACTTTGTCACATTAGGCTAGATATGTTACCATGATTGGTTTAGTGTTGTATGCATAACAAAACTATGTATTTTTCTTTCTGACGGTCAGTGGTGGGATATGGGATGGATACTTCACTCTATTTGGACTCGTCGGTTGGATGTGTCTGCATCCCAACGAGTGATCGTGTTCCCACTGAGACTCGAACCCAGAAACCAACGTTTCAAACATCACAGCGTTATCCACTAGGTTAATGAGTCAGTTGGAATACCATCACTCACTGGGATGCAGGTGAATACAACTGATGGGCGCCAAATAGGATGAAGCATGCATCCTGGGTTCCACTGCCAGGCATCACTGAGCAAATAACGTTCAATGAAACCTAAGGCACCGTTTCAAAGCCCCCAAGAAGGATCTATCAGTTTGGTCTAGTGTGAGAATCAACGGGAAATGACAAGTGTCAGTGCATCAAATGTTATTCATATCGTGGTAAAGGTTGATGAAAGCTAATTATAAATGCAGTATTGTGTGTTTCTGTCTCCCTCTAAATAAGTGAGAGTGTACTAGGGAAGTGCAGTTAGGTGGTTTGCAAAACAATTAATTATTTCCATAAATCGTCATGATAAAAACGATATGTATGCAGCACAGGTAATTAGTTGTTAGTCAACACATTTCGCAATGTGGATGACAATATATTTGAAATTCCATATAAGATTTGTTTATTTAATCTACAACACACAGTGATACAGTATTATAAATCAAATAAACAAATCTAATGTTGAATTAAATTCTACCACAGCCCCCAAGTTTTTACGCTTATACTAATAGATTCGAAAGTTAAATTGACTATTGAAATAATCAATGCCTTTTGCCAGGCCGATTCAAAATTGGAACCAACAGAAAGATGTAGAATGATAGAACGCAAACTTGGACTTTAAAGTAGGATTAACTTATTCGTTTCGTGGAATGATATATTGTATTTGAACCATTACGACCGGCCGAAACCTCATATGGACCTAAGAATTCGGCGTTAAAAATTCCTATACATAAGTGTGTTGGCTGCATTCATATCAGTCATGCAGTTAATCAGTTAGCATTTATCTAGGGTAAAACATTTTTATCAGTTGAATACGAGAGCATCGCACACATATCGTAAAGTTCACAAGGAGTACATATGCTTGGTTTTCCGAACAGCCATGACAACAACTATGCAGTATACTTTTGATAGCTGCTGTGGTTTTCTTGCTTAGCCCTAAACTACCCGATGCATTCTTTGTTTGAAAGTGTTTTAAATAAGCACGAAATGACTGTTGACAATCACACAGTAGGGTGGGATAGGGTGATAGTGTTTAAAACTAACTTAAGAGAGAGTTCTATGAAAATTTGTGAATACATGAAGTGCTGCTTTTATACACACCCATTGCCCGTCTCAAATTCGTATCGAGAAATGTACTTTTTCACTAGATTCAATGGTTTTCCAAAATTAATGACTGAATTGTTCCAAACTCTATTCAATGGCTAATTTATTTGTTCTTGAATTCCTACTTCATCATCCATCACCAGTCGGTAGCCTCAATGTACCGAAAGACAAGACATGCATACCCTTTGAAGCATAAAATATCCACAACAGTGTGAAAATGAAGGATACTAAAAACATACTATTTATGGAAGTGTTTGTAAGAGATCTCTATCGAAAGAGTAACTAGTGCATAGCTGTCTACCATGCCAAGTAAACTCCAAGTTTTGCAAAAACTCTGAAATCAGTAACCTTTAGCTATCCTGGACATTTCTTCTAGGAAATGACCTACAAATCAGGAAAGTGATGGGACTGTCAGACGCCTGTTTCACTATTTCGAGGTCTTTCTGCACCTTCGAACTAGCACATTTTATCGTAATGTATTAAGATGGATGAAACCGACTGAAGTAATAACTCAGTTCTGAATTCTCCAGCACTTCAAGAATGCGTATTTCAAGTAGAACATGTCTGAGATATATAAGAGCATATCTGCATTTGGTTAGCTAATCATATTACAGGGAAAACATGACACTGAAATTGTCCCACTTACTTTCGCACCGATCTGGTTTCCACATTGACCCACTTGCATGTGTACAATCTCGCGCATTTTGAAGATAATCCAAATGAACCAAAAGAACAACACAATTTAGATTGATTTATTTGCTTTATTTACATAAGGTGGGTTCAGTAAACAGTTTTGTGTGGACAGATTGTAATCATGTATGCAGTTGGAATTTCATTGGCTATTGTGATTGACCAATGAATGACGTGAGAGCAAATCATTCAATGAAAGAAAACCGCCGCAACTTTCTGTCTCGATCGATTTATTGTCAGCCAATAGAGGTGATTCTACTGTTCTATAATAGGACAAACTTTCACTTACCGAGACTCAACTACATTAATTTGGATTGTGAGTAATTTGGCTCATGATGAAAATGTCTTGATTCAGCGAAAATCCAGACACCCTGACTGGCTATTTAGGTGACCTTTTAGTGTCAGTCGGTTAGTTTGACAGTTTCACACTTTACAGAATCACTGATGCATTTAACGGAATTAGTGAAAGTTGTGTCTACCGGTCAGACTGTGAACAGTTTTGATGGGAAAATGATCGCCATAATGATCACGGGTGAAGACTATTACTTTACTAACGTAGATGAAGGAGTGTTGACAGTCTGACAATTGATTCGTTTCTCTCCCCATCGCTTTTCTCATCATCCAATAGTTTCGATTTCACTCCAGCAATTTTTGAATCCTTTCCGGTCTATTCAACTCCTTTGACCGACGCTAGTTTACTAAAGTCAGTTGTTCCAGCTCCGATGATCTGGAACTTTGTTCTCGGTCGATTGTCGACGATGGGTGAAGGCACAGATTTGTAAAATGGGTTAAAGGTGTTGAAACCAATCTGATCTTACACTGATTGGTCATTGGATGCGGTCGAACACGGTCCGAATAGCTCAGTGGTAACGTCTCTGATTGCAGTATTAGGAGACTAAGATTTAAGTCTCAGGTGGGACATCATTTCGGTAGAGGTTGCAGATACTCTTTGCAGATGAGTGCCAACAGGCACCAGGACTAGGTTATACAGGGCTTCCCTCCAGTTGTCTCCAATCAACTGATATCCTTTTTATGCCTTGAGTATCCTATGAACGGCTAACAAATCTTACATTTCTCCTTTATGTTGTCATTCTTCATCTTCAACCATCGTGCCTTTACTTAAACGGGACTAGCATACAAGAATTTGATGACCCTATACAAAATGTTTGTTTTGAAATGAACAATCGCTCATCGACTAACTAATATTGATTATAATGAGAAAAACAACAATAGATACACTGAAGGGTTGTTTATATAGCTGATAGCATTCAGTACTAGTAAAGTGCTACAGTCCTGTATTGAATGTCTGATGCACAAAGACTGTTTGTGTTCCGTCTTCGGTATCTTCTATTTCAGCTTCATGCTTTCTATGTAGCTCATTAGTCTACTGTTGCTCTCATGTCATAATATTCACCAGTCATTCATCTACTTCTAATCCCAAACTGGAACTTATCTAATAATGCTTAAAACAATGATCCACTTCGAGTCGGAATGCGTGAGTGAATACACGAGACAACACCGCGCGAAATATTCATAATTCATCTTGTTATTTGAACAAAGACATTGTTTCCTTCACATTTACATGATTATGAGGAGTGAATTCTGTTCGAAATGTCATCCAGCATATGAAAACTATTTCCTCGTGTTCTATATCAAATAAGCAATCTAATGTAGAAGGATATGTTTATTTTCTAAATGTGGTTTCCAAATTTGCCGGCAATAAGCCACAGTGTTTTAATGTTTAAAAAAATTTCTACAAATCGTACAATCGATAAGCGCGTTTGTGAGGCTTAAATACCATTCAACTAGTGTACAGAAAAAACTGTCGGTTATTCAATGATAAATATTCTTGTTAATGTCAGCGAGTTGTGGATAGACATTGTGGTTAAATCAATTTCAGTGTAAACATGAAGGAATAAAATCAATGAACTATAACAAATCATTTATGGTTGATCAACACTATCACAGATGAACAAACATACACTTTGAAAGTATTTTAAAATTATGACCTAAACTTTAAGTTTTCAATGCGGATAGTGCAAAGAGCTACTAAAAGACTTCCGTCTGCAGGCTGAATACGTTATTTATCCCAATAGCTGTTTTCCAAGGCATCGACTGACTAACAGATACTTTTATTTCGAAGTCATAATAAGTAGGTAAACATTGAGTCGCGATAAAGTTGATGAGTTGATTCCCACCATTTCGGGGATCTTGACTAGTTTACGCATGTGATCATATAGGGACTTGACCATGCAGTGTCCAGGTACTATATAAAGCACATTACTAACCAGTCTTTTAGTCGAAATCCAGCATTCTGCACTTTCAAACTTCTTTCAGTTATCAGCACTACGCTAGGACTATCTCTCTTCGCCAGTGGATATATAACCTCAATCTTCTTACAAAAGCTGAATTGCTTTGACAGCGTACGACTTGAAGCGATTAATTGATTCATCTTCCGAGAATAAGAAATCAAGCGGTCAGACAGATTTTCTATTTGGTTTAAAGCTTTTAATGGTTGGATTTACTTCCTGATGCAAATTATGTTCCATAGTAAATAAAATGGAGCAAACAGTGAAGTCAATTTAGTATTCATTCCCGTAACTTATGAAGGAGTCATTTCAGGGTGTTTAATACTAATCTTCCAGCAATCAACTTCTTTTTCAATCAAGAGAGCCACCATCTTTCGACCAGTTTAGAAGAGACTGGCTTTAGTCCCGGTAAGTGCAATTATTATGTTTCTAAAGTCCGTCTGTGCATACACCTCCATGAGATTTGCTTGCTTTTAGGCTGCGTTATCCTCTTGAAATTTGTTGGAAGCCAAGGAGTGGTACAGGGTGACATATCAGTAATGGGATTTTCAAACGTATCACTGAAAGAAGTGGTTAAGATATTGTTGAGAGTTTCAAGTATCATTCTTGTTATTTGAATAAATACCAAATTTAAGTGACGTAAGTCTCATACCTTTTAGAACAGGCTTTCATCAAGGCAACACAAAGGCTCTTTGTATTTTGGAACTGACAAAACTCATTTTCAGAATGAAATCTCAGCTTTTAGGGAATACTTTTTCAAATATTCTGACCTCCGGAAAGTTTATTTTGGAGTAAACATCAAACGGACCAATAATTGAAGCAGATTCGTTTTCTTGGGCAGTTTTTCTCTAAATCCGATTATCTTTGATGCTACTACAAAGGTATACCTATCAGAATGTGTTTAATGTTCATTTTATTCCCAGAAGCGTGTCATTCATTCGAATTAAGTTGAATGGTGGCTTAAGAAACTGAAACAGTACTAAACTGATATGAAACATGGATCTTTATAAGCTAGTAAATACAATTATCATGTTAGCATATGAGGTTTTTCACTGTCCAAAGAAATTTTTGATGTTTTATTTCAACTCTAACATACTGCTGTATATCTGTATGGATAATAGTATACAGTATTTTGAAAAGTGTTCCTATTTTATGGTTATGATGGATAGTGACTAGCAGTGGAAGTTACAGATGTTCATCACAATGTTTTGTGTATCTTGCTTTACGTTTTTACAGTAAGTGGAACCACGAACTGCATAAATATAAACTGGAATACTAAGTCAAGAATAATCACTTTTAAAACAATAATAATTATTTGCTTAAATATACTTTTTCAATGACCTTTTCTCAGGTTCTACAGTTATAAATCCATTGACGTTAGCATATAGCAGCTAAACAAACTAAATGAAAAATATTTGAAACCTAAAGTCGAAAACATAATGTACCTGATTGATTGAACGAGTATTTCATAGGATCTAAACCAAGTTCAGATTGTTGCTTTGTTTTCTAGTCATTTGGAAGTGAAAACTTCAGCATAACGAGTTTTACTTAGTTTCATTTGGAAGATTATTGGAATCGGGAAAGATGAATATCAGTCAGATCAAATGTGATGAGTCAGGAAGTCAGAGAAATAAACTTTGTTACTTCTGATAAGTACATTACAATTCAAGATGGTACAAAATAAGGTGAAATGACGCACAAATGTTTTCGCCAGTCATGTAGCCGATATCATAAATGATACGGAAGATGTTGAAAAGGACGCACAGACAGCTCACACATAATGAAATCACTATATGTGAATTATTGAGGTTAGGCGAAGGGTACTAATCAAGGAAGATAAGCCATTCAATGAGGTTGTAACGTGGAAATATGTTACATATGCCGAGTCACTGCCTACTTCAGCCTGTAATATTAGCTGAAATAGAAGTGATTTGGAGGAAGGCTTAGGGTGATCAGACCATTACGTGACATTGGCCTAAGAGCCTTTGACTGTTGGTCTAGGATGGGTCTCCAAGACCGTAGGAATCAGTGATTTAGGTCTCTTGGTGACAGATGAAAATCGGTTACAATGTTGGAGACGGATTCACTCCCGATATCTTCTTAAGCTCGAATATTTTGACTAACCTGATTTTGAAACTTTATGTTCTCCCATTCACTTCTCTCTACTTTGAGATCGCTCTTTTTCTATAAACTTCTTCTTTGTATACTACTGTGAATTGTGTCAATTTTAACCGATACGCTTTTATGTGAGACCAGACGCTGATTTTGTCTGTTTGTCTGCGTGACTGTCTCTTCATAAACTGCTCATGCTTGAGAACACGTCGTACAAAGGCCTTTGTGATCCAAGGCATCAGATGTTGAATGGCGTTGGCTTTATCTAATTAATAATATCAGAAAAGAAGTTGGGGGCTGGATGATTATAATCGATCACTAATTTCAGGACAGACTAGCCAACAGCTTAATCATACTACAAGCTGCTATCCAACGCAACAGAAGTTGTCATCTAGTGAACGTTTCATGTACTTAGCTCCATTACAGGAGTTGAACATAAACGTACACACTGAATTGAACAGCTGAGGCAACAATACCTCAACAGCAAATGATTCATTTAGACTATTCGCAGGTAGGTAGTGCAGAATGTTACTGTTATACACCCTGTCGGACAGTCCCTACGATATCTGTCTGCATTAACACTTGTGAAGTC